GGCAACCAGCTTACCTCCTTGCGGGAAGACTTTCCGTGGCCATTGGTTTTTTTTTTTGGAAAGGGTCCTCGTTACTGAATGTCGCAGAAGTAGCGGGTCCTTGGATGATGACCACTGCGTCTGATTCTGAGGCCAGGGTCTGGAAAATTGCAAAGTCGAGCTGACTTCGAGAAAAAGGAGATCAAATCCTCGAGAGAATCCCTACCCATCTCACGTCCCCAAAGGAAAATATCGTCCATTTGAAATTTGATTTGGAAGATCCAACCTTATTTTCAAGCACGTCGAATATACTTGACCAGAGGTTTGCCCGCGTCCAATTGCACGCTGTACCCACGATACCACTATTGTCACCGTTAGCCTGCTCCTCCACCGCTCGAATCAACCGCTAGAATCAAGATTCAAGGGAGAAGGGATGCGGAGAGATTTATGGACTGGATATTGTTTGGTATTGGTATTGGATAGTGTGCTAGAAATAAAGTAAAGTCGTGTTGCCAACTTCATACTTTTCATGTGTACCTAGAAGACACTGATCAAAAATCAACATGTCCGCACTTCGCTCTATTTGAGTCTAGTGCTTATCTCTGTTCAATTTACCCGCCAAATCTCACCTTTCCTCGAATAATTTGTATTCCTATGGCATCAATTATCAATTTGCAGAAACGGGCCTTGGAATTTTCCTTCCTCATCAAGAATTCTGACGCCCATTTCGTATTTGCTCGTCACTTTAGTCGCAGCTTGAGGAAGGCTGAGTTTTTCTACACTTCTCTTCTCGATAAATCCACCCACAAATTCAATCTCACCCAAATCCACAGCCAATTACACGGACACGGGTTGCAGAGAAATGGTTTCATTATTACTAAACTCATCATAGCAAGTGCGGGTTTTGGAGAAATTAGCTACGCGCGCCAGGTGTTCGATGAATTTCCTAACCGGTATATATTCCTGTGGAATGCAATTCTCAGAGGATACTCTATGCATAACATGATTGAAAAAGTTATTGAAGTGTATTTTCGAATGCAGCATGCTTCTGTGAGCCCAAATGCGTCTACATTCCCGTATGTACTTAAAGCTTGTGGTTGCCTTACTGCCTTGAGCTATGGCCGGGCAGTCCATGCACAAATTTGCAAGCTTGGGTTGGGAGACGATACATTCTTGCAAAATGGGTTGCTTTCGTTTTATCTGAAGTGTGAGGAACATGATCGTGGTCGGGTTGTTTTTGATCGTATGAGTGTTAGGACTGTTGTCTCTTGGACTTCGATTATCACAGGATATGTACAAAGTGGACAGCCTGTGGAGGCTTTGAGACTGTTTAGAGATATGTGGAGATCAGCTGTGACACCTGATTGGATAGCTTTGGTTAGTGCTTTGAAGGCTTATTCAGATGTGGAGGAGTTGAGTCAGGGGAAATGTATACATGGTTTCATGGTTAAGTGGGGCTTGAGTTTGAGATCGATTTAGGAATAGCATTAACTTCATTGTATGCTAAATGTGGACAGGTGATGCCTGCGAAGATGTTGTTCAATCAAGTGCAGATCAATGATGTGATTCTGTGGAATACCATGATCTCTGGATTTGCTAGAAACGGTTGTGCTATGCAAGCATTGGACCTTTTTACAGAGATGTCTTCCAGAAACATTGCACCAGATGTTGTGACTGTACAGTCTGTAGTCTTGGCTTGCGCTGACCAAGGTTCACTTGAGAAGGCCAGATGGATGGAAAACTATGTTAGCAATAGTAAGTTCAAGAATGATATAGTTGTTAGGACATTGTTGATCGATATGTATGCAAAGTGTGGGAGTGTAGAATTGGCACGGAAGGTGTTTGATTCAAGTGAAGAAAAAGACGTGGTGTTGTGGAGCTCGTTGATAATGGGTTATGCTCTACACGGTCAGGGAAGAGAAGCAATTGGGCTTTTCAATAAAATGGAGACTTCAGGTGTCTATCCCAACAGCATCACATTCCTTGGCCTAATTAGAGCCTGTAGCCATACGGGCCTTGTAGATGAGGGGTGGGGATTTTTCCTCACCATGAAAGCTTATGGTCTTGAGCCAGATAAAAAACACTACGCAAGCATCGTGGACTTGTTAGGACGGGCAGGAAATTTGGACAAG